CACTCCCCAGTGGTGATTCTGTATTAAAACTTCGCATCATATTATAAAATATGTGCACCTGGCATGAATGTATTGGCACAGCAATGTCAGGCTTGGATGGAATTTTAAGACGCACTGTAGATACACTTACATTTAATGAATGGTAAGGCGAGGCGCTTTACAAAAATGAAAGACATTCAGACAAAGGCATTTAAAAACAGTCGTTAAAAAGAAAAGATAAAAGAAACATTTTTACATAAAAAATTTACATGAAAAAAAATACATGAATAAAAAGTTACAGTACAGTTTAAGATATGAATAGTTCACACAGAAGCTCCATTTTACTGATGCCTTTCTTTATGGTTTCTCCGAACATGAGCTGTGTACGCTTGTATGGCACATACGTCCCGAGCAGCATACACAGAGAAAACCAGCCAGGACAAAGTCCCCAGACACTGATTCCCTGGGGTTACTAGCCCCAAATGTTCATTAACCAAAACGAAACACAACCGCTCAGTTTCACTTAAAAGCAGCGGCAAAAAGATAAAAGCATGGACAAGTTTTTCCAAATCCTGCTGTGACATTAGTCTTTTAATCCTAGATATGTTCTTTAGGTGATAGTAGGCTGATTTGGTAACTGTTTTCATGTGACTGTAAGATACATACATGTAAAATAGCTTAAGTTACCCGAATTGTTAAACTTTTTAATGCTCAAATAGTGATTAAACTGTCAAATTGGATTTAGAAATCATTAAACAAGAATAATGTACACTTTTTGTTCTTAGAATATGATTTCATGAAGTTTATTTTAAGCATTTTAGTGTTCGAATTTTATTTCAATTTGCATTTAGGTGCATTGTTGAGTACAACTATAACATGTACTGTATGTACATTTCAATGTTTTTCCATAAAGAATAAAGGAGTTATGTGTACTTGTTCAATGAGGTCATTTCTTGCTACATGCATTCCTGTACATTATAATTTGACTGAAAATAACACACACCTGCATGCTGGAATACAGAGTCTTCCTCATCCTCTCCGTCCATTAACTGCAGGTAGGGAGCAGGAAACCAAGCCAAACCCTTTGAGTCGTTCTCAACCAGCCACCAACCTGGAGAGGAAATAAAACAACCTTTAAGCATAACAGAAATACAGAAAGAGTAGCTCAAGTTTTTTTTGCTGATTTCCAGTAGCCATCTACATGAAAGCTGAGGCACTGACCTGCAGGATCTTTGATCAGCACGTCCAGCTTCTCGTCCATAGCGACCTTAAACGGACGATTCTTGGTATCTTTTGTCTCGTAGGCGGCCACGCAGGAGTAAGTCTGGGTGACAAACGGGTGAGTGACGCTGCCTTTAGGCTGGTGAGAAACTTCTCCTCCTCCTCCACCATCAGGCAGATCATCAGACATCAGGATCATGATGCTGTGTGAGAGAGAAAGCAATCATTTAATAATCAAGAACTCATTTAAACTCTCTTGTAATTTGATCTGAAACTCTGGTGTGAGAACTGACCTGTTCTTGGTGAAGTCTGACTGCAGGTCGTGATCTTTGGGTGTGAAGAACTGAGTCACCTCTGGGGTCCGTGTCACACTTTGATCGCACTTCAGAACTTTCTCGCAGTAGCTCTCCAGGAACTTCATGCGTTGGATGGAGCGCTTGGATCCTGTCTTCTGGCTGCTCTTCCTGGCCTGTCCTGCAGAGAGGAGAGGAACATTTTTCAAGATTATTACCAGACTGTAAAGAGAGCAGCGTCTAGTCCAAAATGTAAATGTGTTCATGAAGGAAACAGTCATAGGGAAGGAAAATGCCCTAAGATTATTACCAGACTGGCTGAGAAATAAGGTGAATTTCTATATTTATACAGCATTTTTCTTGGAAAGTACAAAATGTAATATCCAACTAATTGCTTCAAACTAAGCTAAAACTGAAAAACAGAAGGCATTAGACAATACATCAGGTAAATGTTTGCAGTGTTCTTAAACTCTTGTAGTTGGCTTTTCCTCTAATTATCGGCTGCAAATGCACCATTTTTGTGTAAGGAGACAATTAAAATAGACCTTTTCTAACATACATTTGAGCTATTCTTACCTCTAAATTTGGGGATCACTCTGTTATTTTTCTTGAAAATGTTAATGCTAGGGAATCTCTTCTTCAGCTGCCTCTGTTGGAAAGAAAAAAAAACGTTTATTATTTCTACAAAATAAACACCAATCTAAGAACATGTGTGATTTATTTAGTTTTTGGGGACTTACATGGAATTTCCTGAACTCCTGGAAGGACCTGTAAATTATCACTTCAGCGTTGTCCGACCACAACACAGAAATCATGAACATCTGTGGAGAAATACAAATAATGAAGGATGAGGGATGACATTTTTTACACAAATACAGATAAATCGCACAGTTAAATCTTCAGTTAAATCATGCCTGTTGTGTTAACTCACCTTGAGTTTAGGAGTGTCCCTGTGCACGGCTCCAATAATGCGAGCACTGATTACAAAGCGTTGATCCCCAGCCATTGTGTGAAGTGTGTGTCTCAGCTCTGTGGATGAATAGCAGCTTTAAGGTCTGCAGGTGAGCTGTTGCTTCTACTGGATCACAGAGTCAGCAGCAGTACATATACCCAAATAGTGGAGGGGGAGTCAGAGGAAGACACACATGAGGCACGGAGAAAAAAGGATGGAAACAAAGACAGAGGCGGGGTCAGGTAGGAGTGCCACTTCTCCATCGATGACCAATAATGAAATCACACAAGACAATCACCTACTGTAAAAACAAGAAAAACCGCTTGCTCGTTTCCTTCGAGAAAAACTCCCAGGTGGTGAAATTGATAGCTCATGTGTAGATTAACATACGAGAATTTAAACAAAGGACTCACTTTGACTGGATTTCAATGAATGATTGATAATGTTGCCAAGACATACGTTTATATTGTGGTGGTGAATGTGTTAATACTGTAATTGTGTATAGACTATGAATACATAATGAAGTGTTCTGCCTCATAGTCAAAATGTATGATCAAGTTAGCCTTCTTCTTTGTTAAATTATAGGCTACATTGTTCTGCGCCTGGAAGGTGTGTTCACTTGGTTCAAAGGGATGTTCGTTAACATAAGTCATCATGTCGCACGCGCCACAGGAATCTATTGACTGATTGGCTGCTTGCTGCAAACATTCTGCAATTCTGGACCCACTTTGCTACCCCCGCGTGAGACTGCGGTCAAGCCAGCTGTCTTTCACTTTTGCGTGGTCAAACCAGCCGCCCCTGTATTTTGAGTGCGCGATTAGTTAAAGGTTTACGGTAATGCAATAAAACAACTCTGGGAAACTGGATTTCAAAGTAAAGGATGGCATGTGGTTCATTTCTATTATTTGCGATTGAGGAACAGGGTAATTTATGAGAATAATTGTAGGACTTATTGCTTCATAAACTTGTTGCACAAATACTATGAACTACTTTTACTGTGTACTTTTTGAGAATGGCAAAATTCCCTCCAGAGAACAAGAAGGAGCATTTTTGTCTAACTTTGACGTGGGATAAAAAATATTTCTTCCATAAGTAGTTTATGAAACTGCCATGTTTGTACTTAGTACTTCTAGGACTACTTGCAAACATAATATGAACTACTTTTACTATCAGCTGATGCACAAGGAAACAAATTGATCTCTATATTATCTCTTGACACTAATATTTTGACCCCTATTTTACTAACCAGAAGGAGCCATTTTAACTGCTTTACTTGCCCAGATGTACTCTTCATGATAGTATCTCTGTAATCATATTTTGTTTATGTTAAAGGACTCTATTTTGAAATACCAAATGGATCAAAACCCACATGATTGTGTGATAGTATGAACAGAAATTTGACATTGACGTCCAACACAAATAGATTCCTTTCATGAGCAAAAATCATACATTTTTAGGTTGGCTTGTTTTTTATCAGCATCCAAACTTCGCATAAATATAAACCTACAAAAAACTTTAAGTCTGTGGATAGGCTCAAATAGGTAGATGAGTCTGAGCTGTAGACAGAAAACCAAGCGAATGTTTTACTTGCATAACTCACTGTCGTTAGCTGTCACAATAGGCTAGCCCACATGTGTCAAACTCAAGGCCTGGGGGCCAAATCAGGCCCTT